GCATAAGGCTGAGAGTCATTTCCACCGTTACACGTCTTTAATAAATGACTGTAAACACAGAGGAACTATGAGTGTGTGTGTGTGTGTGTGTGTGTGTGTGTGTGTGTGTGGCTGCTGCATTAGAACACCTGCATGCTTCAGCACTTTCTGTCAGGAGCGCTGAGGTCACAGGGAGGGGTGGGGGCCACATTAGAAGAAGCTCCAGAGCCCCCACCGACCGACCGACCGACCGACCACGCCTTCGCTCAACTCCAGCCCTTCGTGTTTCCTTCTTCCTCTCATTTACCCACCGTCATCCCTTCCTGAGACGTCTCGTCCACCCATCGTGATGACGGTAGTGAGTCGGCCATGTGTGGAGGGGTGGGAGGAAGCAAGGTGCCTCGGTGGCTGACAGCAGGCAGGTCAGGTTTTTTGTCGACACGTGTGCACACCGACGTGTCAAGGTGTGTGTCTTGCGGCGGGAGCAAAGGAAACGAAGCGAGCGTGTCATTTAAAATGCATGCATAGACATATGTGCTGGGAATGTAAAAAAGCTGAAAAGTTTTGCACCAAGGATAGCTGTTTGGGAAAGTTCAGCTTTCACTTAATTCTTGTTCATCTCAGAGCCCGCTCTGATTAATATCGTTTCATTTCCGAATAAACAAATCACTTTTAAAAGTTCTTTAAATGTAATTTGGTTCCAGGAGCTACGTGTCGAGGTGTTGCCCACACAAACTTCAAATATCGAGCTGTCGTTTAAAAAAAAACTACCTCCGTTGAGTTCTTTTGTTTTCTGCAGGGAGCAGGATTTGCTCCATCCACGGGACTGACATACTTCACTTCCCTCACTCCCTGGGATATTTATAACCACTACAGCCGAACACTGAGACTCATTACACCGGAGCGGGTTTGCTACTGACACAGACGTCATCCTTCCATCCATAAAACCCAAATGACAGCGAGAATACGAACAGGATGTCTGCTCGTTATAGATGCCTGCTCTGAAACCAGGAGAAAGCTTGCACAACTCACTTCCAAAACATGGAAAAGAGGGAGAAACATTTTTTTCTTCCTCCACTCCGAGCTTTTTGTAAAGATACACAAGTTGAACGTCTGCATTTCCGTGTGGATTGTTTTTAAAAGTGTGTGTTTTTTGATGATCACAGAGCGTCACCCGGAGCTAAACCTTTAAAACAGCAAGCAGCTCCTCTTATTTTTTGTAAATGAACACAAGATTCTCTCAGTTGTTTGAGATCTTTATGCCGAAAATTGTGTTTTATTCAGAYGTAATTAGCTGAAAAGCTGTTTCTAATGTTTCTGGGTATGTGTGTGTGTGTGTCTGTGTGTGTGAGCCTCGGAGCCACTGTTGTCCTCGGGTTGTGGCTGTTGTGTTCACAGCGTGATTGCGAGAGGAACCTGTGATGAGCCGGAGGTTGGTGTGATCTCAGTGCAGCCGGCAGCCCAGGGCCTTCCTTCAGCCCGCAGCCTACACTCACACACAAACCTTCCTCCCTCCCCAGGCGTCACCCTCCTCTCCTCTCTCCTCTCCCTGCGGTGCCTGCCCGGTGCAACCTGCTTAGCATTGCACCCAGTGTCTAATTGAATTCCAACACTCAGCCGTTAGCTTCTGATGCCATAGAGATGTTAACACGGCACAATACTAACAGTCCTCGGGACGTGTTTCGACATCCTTCTCCTAAAGAGAAAATTAGTGCTAAGCTCACTCTGGCAGCACATGATTTATTCAAAGCTCCAAACTATGTCTTCTATTTCCCCTAAAGGATCGTCTTTTATAGCCATCAGCAAATCAGCACTTCTTATAGACACACACGCATGGCACGCATGCAGAGGATGTATTCTCGTGCTGCAACCTGAGTGTATCTATTGTCTCCTATATAAATGTGTCTGCTGCTCTCTCTGCATCCATATTGCTGGCAACGCCGTCCATCCCCTCCGCCTGACACGCTCACTTTTATTCCTTGGCTCTCAAACACTGGCTCTGGGCTTTAATGGCACATATTTCCTGGGCCCGGCTGAAACAGGATGCATCTCCTCCTTGTTAGCTTGATAAATAACCGGGCTGTGGAGAAAGTGCTGAATTTTAGCTTTCAGCCTCTATTTTGTGCTGGATGACATTAATTTTAAGTGCTGAGAAGGAGCTAACTAATACAGACAAATAAATAAGGACGGTGCAGAGGTGCTGGAGTCACCGCTGCACCCACAACCCCCACTATCCCCCCCACCCCAGTTACCTGTTTATGCACAGACATTCATGAATGCAGATATGCAAAGCTGCAAAAAAATAAACAGAGCAAAGTTGAGCGCGCCCGCATCCAGTCGATGCTGCTTTTGTCGTCCAAACTGTGAAATCCTCTCATCTCATTACAAGTTCAGCTCCTGCCAATCAGTCAAGTCAGTCGTGTTAATCTCTCCGCTCCGTCCCCCCCTATATTCTCTTTCAGTCTCCCTAAACTGTGTGCTTCATCAGAAACAGAAATGAGCGGCAGTAATGCGACGGTGGATCACAGCGCGCCACACTCTGGATAAACTGTATTTACACGAGCATATCGAGGAGACAAAACACAGATTAGCTCTGAGGAGCTCATTAGTTGCAGTCTAAATAATGAGAGCAGTGGCAATATTTGAGAAAAATTAATTAAAACTGGGGTGGGAAAGGAAAGCACAGCAACACCTAAAATATGCATGTTTAAAGTTTGTTGGAAAAATGCATTTGTGTTATTTAAAACAATACTGATGTGTAGCTACATTTTGGCAGTAATTTTACAAATTGATCATTTTAACAGTTTTTTTAGGGAAGAAAATGAAACCTAATAATTGGGTTGAACATTAACCCAAACCTGCTGAGTTAAAACAMCACAGGGATGTTTTATTTCATTTTATTTTTTAAATCAGCAGCTTTTATTGTGTAAATAAATACGTTTTTTAATCTTTACAGCACATTGGCTAGACTTGTTCAAATATGTTTCTCAATAAATGGGATACTGAGGAGCAAAAATACAGAGGAACCAAATATTAAAAGGAAAAATTATCATTATTTAATTTGTATTTTTTGTCATTTTCCTATATATATATATATAGGAAA